TTCATGTTGAAATTCTACTGCCCAATGAAATGGTATTAGGAGGTAGGCTCTTTGAGAGATGAGTAGGTCATAAAAGCATAGTCTCATGAATCAGAGTAATGCCCTTAGAAAAGAGAGCTCCCTTACCCCTTTTACCACATGAGGATACAACAGTAAGTTAGCAGTCTGCAACCCCTAAGAGGGCTGTCATGAGAACCCAACCATGCTGGCACCCTGATCTTGGGCTTCCAGCCCCCAAAACTGTAAGAAATACATTTCTGTTATTTATAAGCCCCACAGTCTGTGAGATTTTGTTACAGAAACCTGAATGGACTAAAAACAGGCTAATGAAAACTTATGCTAGACTATTTCTAAGAAATAGTATTTGCAAAAAACTGCACATTTCAAGGCAAGAACCAGAGAAGCAAGCTGCAGAGCAATACATCCAACAAGATAAAAGTATAATAGTTTAAAAAAAAAACTATATTTAAGAACACCAATTGCTGTCTTCTTTTTCATAGTAGAGATAAATGACTTCTTTGTAACTCATGTATAGTAAATAAACACCAATAAAGCAAAGCCTTAGGTAAAGGAAGTAGTCAACTGGTTTCCACTTCCAAGGGATAGGAGGGTGTTGATACAATAAGAAGCTTCAAGGCTGAATGGCTCTTATATCCAAACTGATCTAAAGACAGAATACTAAAAAAAATAAAAAATTAAAAAATTTAAAAAAAGACAGAATACTAAGTACATTCAAGACAATGTACTCAAAGGGGTTAAATGTCCCATAATCTGCCAAAGAATAAAATCATTTGACTTGGGGTTTTGTTTTTAATGTTTCTCTGGTCACTTAACAAACAACTAAGAGGACTTGTGAGACTGGAGGAGAGATTCTCACCCCACCCTTCCCACCTCCAATCAGATTTACAACCTTGGACACCAGGTGACAAATGAAGGTCCTGAGGTTTGGCGAAGAGGGCTCTGATTCTGCATGAGAAGGAAAGGATCAGAGAGTCAAAGGATCAGAGAGTCAAAGCCAAAAAGATCCTGGGCCACTAAACCCCAAACCAGCAAGAATCATTTTCAGTCTCCAAAACTAAACTCAAGCTAGCTCCATGACTAATTTTTAGCCATAACTTTCGATTGACAGCAGTGATCAGCATACCACACCCTATGGATCAAACCCATTCGATTTTGTACGTGAAGTTGTGCTGTCACAGACACTCCTTTCTTTACATATTGTTCACAGCTGATCTCACACTACAATGGCAAAACTGAGTAGCTGCAACAAAAAACACATGGCCCACAAAGGAAAAAAATATTTACCATCTCATCCTTCACAGAAAAGGTTTGCTGACCACTAATTTAGAAGAAAGGAAAGGAAAGAATACCTACTAGCTATTACTTTTCCTGAAGGGCATACAGAAGAATAGACAGCTTATAGTTTAGTTCAGCAATCAAAGGAGTATCTCTGGGAGTTTCTCAGCAGTCCAGTGGTTAGGACTCAGCACCTTCACTGCTAAGGGTCCAGGTTGAATGCCTGGTAGGGAAAAGATCCCACAAGCCGCTCGGCATAGCCAAAAAACAAAGAGTCCATCTCTGATATTCTTTCCCCTAATTTCTAAAATATGCTTTTTGCCATCTTGATGTGGGGATCATCTGTGAGGCATCTATGACACGGCAGCTCAAGAGCCTAATAATCACTATACATTGCTATTAAGTTTCTCAAACTTACTGTCAGACTTGAGGTTGCAACCACCAGATAGACTCATAATTGCTCCTATTCCTTGCTTGCTTGCAGTAAACAGCCCAAGGCTATCTGACAGAATATAAATACTGTTTTTCATATTTAGGACATAAAATTTTGATGTGCCAGAATCTTTGAGGGAGCAAATGACTACCTGTTAATTATAGAATAAATAAGGATTTCTCCTGATCAGACCAAGTACTCTGAAATGTAAGTGTATCTAAAATGCAAGCCTCCCAAACCAGATACCAGTTCTGTCAGTGGCTGGTGAAGGAGATTAGACCTGAGATAGCTTAGGTATTATCTGTCTAGATTGCTCCTAGAGAGAAAACAATGGGAATAAACAAGAGGAAACTCATCCAAAGATGTCAAGAAAAGCAGGATGCTACGTTAGTGAATTGTCTGGCCAGATGAGACAAGGACTACCTAGAGTCTGCCCTGAGGAGGAATCCGGTAAATTCTAACACTGCAAGAGTGAGTACTCAGTCTTAACTTCAACTATGAAAAATTTCTCTCAGACAATGGGGGAGGAGAGGAATCAGCTAGCCAAAGAGAAACAAACACTGAGCCAGGGAAATGAACTTTCTCAAATCCTCCATGTTGGGAGAAAGAGGCTAAGAATCAGTATAAACTATCCTAGAAAGGGGGAAACATTCATTTGTTTTTCAACAGTATTTATTCAGCACCTATGTACCAGGCACTTAGGTTAGAGGTACTAAACAAAACAGACAAAAACCCTCATTCTCATGGAACTTACTTACATTCCAGTGGGGGTGTGGCATAAAATACAGTGCATATTATACGGTGCCAAATGCTCAGAAGAAATATAGTGAACAATAGGGAGTGTTGGGGTTGGGGGTGGGGTAGCCAAAGAAGTCTACACTGCAGAGGTGGCATTTGAGTGCTTCTGGGCTATCGTGCTTTGTAGTACTCCTGACAGACTAGAATATAGGGTTAGCCCAAGAAATCAAATTCTTTAAACTCATGGAATATCCATGTGAGTCATGAGCTTACAGCTGTGATTGCCACACTGTTCTTCAGATACAGTAACATAGCCTGTTCTCTATGGGGACAAAGTTCAAGAAAAGAAAGTACATAGTGTATGTTTTTCTAAGTTAGATAAAAGCATACAAAATCCCTCTCTGAAATGTTCCCAAAATAATAAAGAACTAATAAAGTGTAAACTCACAAGGACAAAAAATAGAAGGAACAAGGACAGACAAGAGATGTCAACAAACAAGCAGATAAAGTTTTTAAAACTGTGAAGACCTCATACAGCACAGAACTTTTATGCAGGGAATACCATTTTGACAGTACATGGCAGGATACAAGGAAAGACAAACCTACAGCAAGGTAGTACTGACAAACATCTCAAACTAGATCAAAATGCTGTAGGAAAAATGTAGAGCCTACCCTGCAAAGAACAGAAAGGAAACTCTACAGGTGATTTTTTTTTAATGGGTCACTGCCACACAGTTTAAGCAAGCAAGAGCCCTGCAGCCCTAGGGGATTGCCAGTCTTGGTGTTAAATTGACAATGGAAGTAACAAAGAGACTTAATCAGCTGCAGAATAAAACTTACTTCAAAGAAAAGGGCAAATTTAAACTAAAAGCTCCCTACCTCTATACCAGTTGGTCACCAAAAGCCTAAGTTAAAAGCAAAGATAACTGCAGTAAATCTAGTTTTATCTGGGTCCCCACTGGAGAAAGGAGGAAAGGACTAGGATACCTCCTCTCTCTTAATCATACATAAATTTCAAAACCGCAGAAAATAACTGAGAATTGAGCATAAGCATCCTGTAAATCCTCTGGAGAAGGGAATGGCAACCCACTCCAGTATTCTTGCCTGGAGAATCCCATGGACAGAGGAGCCTGGTGGGCTACAGTCCATGGGGCCACAAAGAGTCAGACATAACTGAGTGACTGAGTGGACACATCCTCCAATAAAATATAACCAGTGGAGGACTTCCCTGGTGATCCAATGGTTAAGAATCTACCTGCCAACACAGGGGGCATGGGTTCAATCCCTGGTCCAGGAGGATTCCATGTGCTATGAGGCAACTAGGCCTGTGCACCACAACTCCTGAACCCACCTGTCCTGGAGCCTGTGCTCTTCAACAACAGAAGCCACTGCAGTGGAGGGCCCATGCACCGCAACTAGAGAAAGTCCCATGCAGAGCAACAAAGACTTAGCACAGCCAAAAATAACAATAAAATAAATGAAATTTTATATATAAATGTATATATATACACACACACACATATATATAAAACTAGTGAAGCAGAAAATATGACTTCTCCAACAGGTTTCAAAACTTAAGACATCCAAGTGTTGCAAAATCTTCCCTGAGATAGCATAACACCTTACAAATAGGAAAAATTCTTTCCATTCTTGAAAAATCAAAAGTACCTTATTTTTCTATCATTCATTCCTCCTTTCTATAGAAGCCAACTATTTCTTCCAAATGCTCAATATAAAGAACAACACTAGGACTTCCATGAAGGTCCAGTGCTTAATAATCTGCCATGCAGTGCAGGGGACGCGGGTTCAATCCCTGGTCAGGGAACTAAGATCCCAACATGCCACAGAGCAACTCAAACTGCATGCTGCAACTACTGAAGTCTGTGCACTCTGGAGCCCACACGCCGTAACTACTGAGCCTGCACACTCCAGAGTCCAAGCGCCCCAACACATGACCCAATGAAAACACCACATGCTGCAAATTAAGATCCAATGCAGTCAAATAAATTTTAAAAAAGAAAGAACAATGCTAAAGAAATTCTATTCAAAAGGTAGGGAAAATAATACTCTCCTCTTTGTTACACTTTACGACATGTGCTGCACTTCAACATGTGCTGCACTTTTAACAGATAAAATGTGTATCAAAGTTGCTTAGTATTTTTAAAATCAAGTTCAAAAGAACAGAACATCTCCACATTTCAAGAGTTCACCAAAGATTTTATGAAGTTTCACGTTTGCTTATTTTCTACCCTCCATAAAATTATTGGAAAATACCTAAAAATTAAAGATAGAAATACTAGAAAGCAGAAACTAATATAAACACAAAGGTAAGAGTACCAAAAAGATTTCTTACAAATATCATGTCAAATATTTTTCTGCTGATAATAATCTTAAAAGTACAAGCTGGACACTTCTCTCATTTCTTAATTTAAAAACAAAGATCTATAGAAAATGCACTAATTTTGTCTTTATGGATATTCTTCAACAGTCAAATTTATTCTTAGTGACACATACCATATAATGTACATCTTACCTATTAAAGATTTGATATTTTCTAAGATTAAATCACTAGTAATATTTCCAGATAAATCTTGCCCCAATTCAGCAATCAGCTTGGCATAACCTTCATTTTCTTCTCTTAACAAATTAAATTTTTGCTGCTTATAACTGAAATTAGATAAACATCATAAAAAAGATAAAATTAATTTCAATTAACAGGGCTGCATAAGATTAATGTATTCTTTTCATTGAATTTTCTTACTCATATAAAACCACCAAAGGAACAGTTGTTGAAAGTTTACCTCTTTGTATATCTTTTAGGATAGAAAATAACAGTGATTCATAAGAGACATCCCAATATGAATTACACAGGGGAAACCAGCTACACAAGGAAATGATATTGCTAACATAACACTATCTCCATCATTGACAAGAATATACTCTAGAATAAAGCCATAGTTGTAAATTATTTTACTGGTAGTAATAAAAACATTGATTATTTTAACTTCTAATAAGGAAAAAAATTAACATTGGTTTCACGCAGGTAGAGTTCACTGCTGACTCAATAACCATAGGCCACTCTTAGAAAAAACACGAGACACACTCTAACAGCAAAAACAACAAAAGTCTTCAAAACACCTTTAAAAACTTCTGGTATTCAACATGGGAAGTAAAAAACATACACAGGCACTTGATCTCAACATAAAAATACATGTACTTACAAGAGTTTTGTCTTGATTTTAACTGACTTTTGATTGAATTGCTGTGACTGTTTGATAAGCCCTAACGATTCCAATGTTTCTGGATCCAAGCGTTCCTTTAGAACTGTGTCTGAAACTAAATACTGTATTAAAAAATATTAAAGGCCATTTATTCCTCAGCATTCCAACTATGCATCCACAATCTTAAAACATATGCAAAATAATTTTCCCAAATAAGAATATTAAAATCACATATTATATATATATATATACACATCAACAACTTTATATAAAGGCTTAGAACTTCAATTTAACAAAAATGATGACTCTCAAAGTATTGAAAAATGCAACATGTAGTTTTTTAAAACTTCACTAAAAATTATATGCACGCTCTCCATAGCCTACAAATGACAAGAACTACAGATGTAATTCTGATTAAAATTAAGTCTGATTAAAACTGAATTTTCTTTAAGATAATACAGCACTTCAGCCTTCTTTGGTTTCTACTCTTTAAGTCAGATTCTAGTGCAGCAAAGACAAGGACATTCTTCCAGGTCTGAGTAATGCCATTCCTCCTTAGTTCTAAATTTATGAACATAAAATGGTTTACTAGACAATGATTATGACAAGTTCTAGAATTTTCTATTTTTAAACTACCTCCATTCTTTTTCTCCTTGCCTAATACTTTATGAAAAATCGTTCAGTTTAAAAGCTGTCCACATCATTTCTACTCATCTGATAGATGCTTACCTTTTCCTTAGTTAGAAACTTCCTAGGTCAGGAATATCACCAAAGGTTCTATATGCATAGATAGTTTGATACAGTAGCACGCCTATTTCATAGAAATAGCGTGTCTAATTTTACAAAGCATTCATTTCAAAACCCAAGTCTCACCTTATAATGAACAGTCAAATGAATGTCAATATCCTCCTCCATTAACATGATTGTGATTACAATCATTCCATAAAAAATTGAGAAATGGAAAGTATTTTTTAAAACTTACCAAACATGCTAATACCAACTGTGTAAAATAGTCTCTCTTGCTTTTTTCTTCTAAACAATTTGTCTCAATATCTACAATGATGAAGGAAAAAAAGATGAAAGTTTGATTTTTCTAGACTACAGAACTATAACATACCTCGCTTCTTTAAAACTAGCTAAATTTAAAATACCTCATTCTGAATTGGGGGGAAAAGTTTAAACTGTGATAAGCATAAGCTGTCCTTCATATGCATATGAATATTAGAGTTAATTTCTCATGATACTGAAGATTGACCTTGTGACCAATGGCATATCCATAAAATGGTCAGTTGATTATGGAGCTATGTGCTAAGGCATTGGAAGCAACAAAGCTTCAAAAAACTACTGCTTTCAAAAAAAAATGGAAACATTCGGGAATTTCCTGGTGGTCCAGCGGTTAGTACTTGGTGTTTTCACCACCCAAGGCCTGGGTTCAACCTTTGGTTGAGGAACTAAGGACCCTTAAGTCATGTGGCATAGCCAAGAAAAAAAAAATGGAAACATTCAAGCAAAGTTTAAATGACCACATGTCAGAGACACTAAGGTGGAAAATTGAACTGGGTGACAACAAAGATCTCTTCTAATACTAAAGACCCTATTATTCATGAAGATCAAGCCCTTGACAGAACATTGGTACCACGTACCATGTTCTAACCAAGCTACTTGGTCACCAACTCTATGAAAACTGTATTAGAAGATATTTTTAACATCTTATTTTGAATTACAATTCTAGTCAGCAAAGAAAAATTCAGTGAAGGTTTTCATTTTCTTCCTATTTAAATATTTTTTAAATGACACTTCCTTGAGCTTCAGTAAATTATTCAAAGAATTTGTCAAACCATTTTCTCATCTAAAGTATAGAGGAAATAAACAATTAGTCCTAAATGCTAAGCATCAAAAACTTCAACCAGGATTAGCAGGATTACCAGATTGATCTCAGAATTATTGTTTTAACTGATTACACACCATCACTTTACTTTAAAAATCAACTTATATTTAAAATGTACTACAGAAAAAGGCACCCATTTTTGTGATGCAATAAAAATTGTCCTCTAGGAGTTCTAGGGTTCCCCTCAGACAGACAGACGTACCACTGCTATCCTTCAGTTTACTTTCTATTGACATCACTAAGAATCAAGAGAGAAGAGGATCTATTGTTAAACAATCCACATTTTCCTGGCACTTCTCCACTTTTCCTTCCTGGAAAGTGCCATTTCCCAATATTCTGAATGCTACAGCTAAGCACACAATCAGATCAAGGGTATTAAGGGAATTTCAGGGTGCAATTATACACCCTGTAATGTACTTTAAATTGCAGTACAATCTCAATCTCTCAGTAAGACTTTAAATTTACATGCATCTCATCAATCCTTTCCAGGGACTCCCAAGTGGTCTCCCCATTAGCTGGTTTTCTGGTCCCTCCCCAGCCTAGAACTTCAAACATACTGATCTTGAGAGGTCAGGACTAAATTGGGCCTCTTCTTTTAACCAATGTCTATCTACCCTCCAAGGCCCTACAGTCCCTAATATCTACCTCCAAAGTCCCTAAAATGAGAGTACTTGGGTAGCAGGTTCATCTTCTACAAACCAAATATACTCTCCTCTTAGCCACCAGACCTGATTAAGATACAACTCTCTGGGTTCTGACCATGTTAGGAAATGCTTAATGGGACCTCAGTAAATTTCCTAGCTAAGTTATCTCAATCATCAACACAGGAATCTATTATCCCAATTATGCCTTCCCTGTTTACTTTATTCTTTTTATTCTGACTCATGAAACTATTCCAATAAATTCATATACTATTCCTGACTCCTCAACCCCAAATCAGCATCAAAGTTCTCTTTAATTTCCCTCTGATTTTACTAGAAAGTCCTCAGTCATTTAAAACTCTAGGCCCACTATTACCAACCACCTAACCCAGCTCAGAGGTCCCAACAGTGCATGAAGTTACACCACACTTTCCTTTGGGGTTAATATATTAATTAATACCTCTCAGGCCTGCTCACCCTTACATGATTAGTCTTTTAAAGGAAAATGCTATCTCAACCAGGAAAGTACAGCACTGATTTTCCTTGTAATTGCCAAAATATTATAAAGATAACATGATGCAGTAAAAAGATCATGGACTCTAGAACCAAAAAGACCCAGGTTCAAACCCTGCCTTACTAGTTGTGTGGCCTTGAGAAATTACTTTCCTAAGCTTCAATTTTCTGATCCATAAACCTACCTTACAGAAAACATAAAATGCTGAACATATAGAAGGTGTTCCAAAATGGCACCTATATTATTATTACTGTTACAATCATTATAGTTATCATGATCATTATCATCAGAGAGAGCTGGCATTCTTACTCCTCTTCCCCTGTCTTGGTATGCAGTCACCCCTGGATCTTTTTTTTTTCTGCCAAGGGTAGGAGTGGGTGAGTGAGGGGGCAGGTGTGGGAAATTCTCTTTCCAAGTTTGCCATCCTAATCTTGCTTGTAAAAATGGACTGGATAGGCTAAAAGAAATTTCCCAAGAGCAACCAAACACCATCCTCATGAATTCATGTTACTAGTAAAAAGCAATGATTTGTAACAATAATTCTTATTACTACACAACTATGAAGGGAAAATATATCCTAATAAGTCAATAAAAAACAAATTACTAGAACTTTACTGATAAGCTGATAACTAATTATCCACAGAAAGACAAAAATATATTTCTGACACTATCAAGGACTAACAGCTTCCACAAACTGGTATCTACAAATCATTCTTTCAGGCTTATAAATGTATCAATTCAGTTCAGCTGCTCAGTCGTGTCCAACTCTTTGCAACCCCATGGACTGCAGCACACCAGGCTTCCCTGTCCATCACCAACTCCCGAAGCTTGCTCAAACTCATGTCCACCAAGTCGGTGATGCCATCCAACCGTCTCATCCTCTGTCGTCCCCTTCTCTTCCTGTCCACAATCTTTCGAGCATCAGGGTCTTTTCAAATGAGTCAGTTCTTCACATCAGGTGGCCAAAGTATTGGAGTTTCAGCTTCAACATCAGTCCTTCCAATGAACACCCAGGACTGATCTCCCTCAGGATGGACTGGTTGGATCTCCTTGCAGTCCAGGGGACTCTCAAGAGTCTTCTCCAACACCACAGTTCAAAAGCATCAATTCTTCGGTGCTCAGCTTTCTTTATGGTCCAACTCTCACATCCATACATGACTACTGGAAAAACCATAGCTTTGACTAGACAGACCACTGTCGGAAAAGTAATGTCTCTGCTTTTTAATATGCTGTCTAGGTTGGTCATAACTTTTCTTCCAAGGAGCAAACATCTTTTAATTTCATGGCTGCAGTCACCATCTGCAGTCATTTTGGAGTCCAAGAAAATAAAGTCTGTCCCCGTTTACATTGTTTCCCCATCTATTTGCCATGAAGTGATGGGACTGGATGCCATGATCTTTGTTTTTTGAATGTTGAGTGTTAAGCCAGCTTTTTCACTCTCCTCTTTCACTTTCATCAAGAGGCTCTCAGTTCCTCTTCACTTTCTGATATAAGGGTGGTGTCATCTGCATATCTGAGGTTATTGATATTTCTCCCATCAATCTTGATTCCAGCTTGTGCTTCATCCAGCCTGGCGTTTCACATGATGTACTCTGAATATAAGTTAAATAAACAGAGTGATAATATACAGCCTTGACCTACTCCTTTCCCAATTTGGAACCAGTCTATTGTTCCATGTCTGGTTCTAACTGTTACTTCTTGACCTGAAGATTTCTCAGAAGGCAGATAAGGTGGTCTGGTATTCCCATCTCTCGAAGCATTTCCCAGTTTGTTGTGATCCACACAGTGAAAAGCTTTGGCGTAGTCAATAAAGCAGAGGTTTTTCTGGAATGCTCTTGCTTTTTCTATGATCCAACGGATGTTGGCAAGTTGATCTCTGCTTCCTCTGCCTTCTCTAAATCCAGCTTGAACATCTGGAAGTTCTCGGTTCACAGGTGTCGAAGTCTTGTTTGGAGAATTTTCAGCATTACTTTGCTAACATGTGAGATGAGTGCAATTGTGAGGTAGTTTGAACATTCTTTGGCATTGGAATGAAAACTGACCTTTTCCAGTCCTGTGGCCACTGCTGAGTTCCCCAAATTTGCTGGCATATTGAGTTTGAGTACAGCACTTTCACAGCATCATCTTTTAGGATTTGAAATAGCTCAGCTACAATTCCATCACCTCTGCTAGCTTTGTTCATAGTGATGCTTCCTAAGGTCCACTTGACTTTGCATTCCAGGATGTCTGACTCTAGGTGAGTGATCACACCATCGTGGTTATCTGGGTCATTGAGATCTTTCTGTATAGTTCTTCTGTGTATTCTTGCCACCTCTTCTTAATATCTTCTGCTTCTGTTAAGTCCATACCATTTCTGTCCTTTATTGTGCCCATCTTTGCATGAAATGTTCCCTTGGTATCTCTAATTTTTTTGAAGAGGTCTCTAGTCTTTCCCATTCTATTGTTTTCCTCTGTTTCTCTGCACTGATCACTGAGGAAGGCTTTCTTATCTATCCTTGCTATTCTTTGGAACTCTGCATTCAGATGGGTATATCTTTCCTTTTCTCCTTATAGTAAAAACAATTTTTTAAATTGAAACTTGACTCATGTTGTATTTATTTGTCATATAATATCTTTAGCGCTTGCTCTAAAAATTAAAATCGATCAACCCAATAGATAGCAAAAACAAATACTTTATCATCTAAACCAGGAGTTTTAAGATTGACAGAAGGCACAATTAATAATTACGCCAGGGAAAACAAAACAGAAGTGGGACATACTGTCATCCGATCAACTGTCTGCTCTTTTCATTTATCATTCACAGTCCACAAACATTTTGACCTGTTCACAACATTACTGATGTTATAAAATCTTAAACATCATGAAGGATCAAGGACCAGGCATTTAGATTTGTTGCAATCAAATTCCAGATTCTCAGTAAGACAAATTAAGTAACCTATCTCATTCTAAGAGTTAAGATTAATGAGCTAAAGTAAACTAATTCATTCCAGCCTGACAAACTCTCAGAGAATAAGTCTTATTTTAAAGTGAATATTATCATGTCTGGTAATGTTTTCTAACAGATTAAAGTTACAGAACGTTTAAGACTGATGCGGAAAACTGTGCTCAGATACTTTAACTCAGATTTAAAATAAGAGAAATATATTTGTACTATACATTATTTTTCAAATCCATGATTCCCATGGAGGGATACTACCTTTTGTTCCAAGTCAAAGAAATATTCCATTCTTATCTTGCATGTGAAAATGAAACTCACTCAGTTGTCTCTGACTCTTTGCGACCCAATGGACTATACAGTCCATGGGATTCTCCAGGCCAGAATACTGGAGTGGGTATCCTTTCCCTTGTCCAGGGGATCTTCCCAACCCAGGGATTGAACCCAGGTCTCCCACACTGCAGGCGGATTCTTTACCAGCTGAGCCACCAGGGAAGGCCAAGAGTACTGGAGTGGGTAGCCTATCCCTTTTCCAGGGATCTTACATTAATTCTTACTTATTCTGGACAAAGAGAGAAGTAGCTATTTCCAAGGCTGGTTTCTCATCCTCAAAACAAAAGTATTTTTGATTACTTTGGCTCTTCTTGCTCTTTCTAAAATTAAAAATCAAAAGAGTACAATAGCAAAGTACAAAATACAAAAGCAAAATCTCTCGAGTGTCCTAAGTTTGATATTCTGACATTCATTGATAACCTGCATTGATAACCTAATTAATAGGTTATTAATATTAATTAGGTGGTTACTAAAATCTGAATAATTCAGACTAACTTCAGAAAACCTGGATTTTTAAACCTGAAATACTTAACTTAGCTCAATTTTATACAAAGATATATTCAGAAAAATTCAAACTATTTAAATTATAAACTAGAACTATTTAAATATAGTGATTAAATTCACATTTGATTTACAATACTATATTCTCTATAAAGTAAAAATATATATAATCTAAATTTGTAGAAACATTTGTAAAATCCTTAGCTTAAAAAAATATTTTATTTAACAAAGAACATTAATTTTCCAAACAGCAGTTTTTACAAGTGAAATAAAGGCTATTTACAAGTGAAATTAATACAGGCTTATTAATACCTACCTAATATGCAGAATACATCAGCAAGAATGGAGGGCATATCCTCACGAAATTCCTAATTTTAAAAAAATACAATTGTTCATAGTAAATACTAGAATAGCACACTAACAAGTACTATGGGTTCACAATAACACTCTTCAGTCAAACATAACAACAAAACCCTAATACCACTATGTTGACAAATAAAATTCTTCAAGTTTCATAATACAGAGAAAATTAAAACAGGGAGATAACGGTTAGAAAACCTGTTTAAATGTCTACCATGAAATAACTTGAGTTAAAAAAAAAAAGGAACCTTAAACAAGCACCTCAGGAAATAATAAAAAACACAAATGAGTAACATTTTTTCAATGAAGTTTCATGTCAGAAACCACTGGAATTTGGAGTACCTTACACCTATCTAAAGTAAGATTGTTTAAAATGATACATTTTCACCTAAAACTTTAAATGCTGTGCTCATACCTGAGTCAACATTGACCTAAGCAAAACTCATAGTATTCAGAACAGAAATCTGAAAAATGCAATAATAATAAGTACAAGCAGTTGTCTCATAACTCAAGATTCGCTGAAGATGAAAACAATTACCAAAAATCTATATTTTCTTTATGCACTGATGTTTGCAGCCTTTGGAGAAACGGATCCAACATTTATAATAGATTTTGTCTCCTGACTTCACATTCCCATGCCCAATTTTAGAGCCATTTTCCATTAGTAAGGATCACTGTTCAATTATTGCAATTAGTTTGCTGGCACTATAGCAACACTAAAATTAGCCTATTTTCAGAGAGTAAAGAAAAGAAATATAATTCTAAAGAAAAACCTGGCAGCTATAAGACACACAAGATATGTTTCTGTGGCTAAGATATGGGACAGTGCAATATGGGACTATGAGAATCTAGCCATCACAAAGGATCCAGCTGCAGAAGTATATATATTACTAAGCACTCAAAGAAAGGGAAGCTAAGTAAGAATGAAACACATTAAGTTCATTTGGACTATTCACTCTCAATAAGTGGGAAGAGTATTAGAATCAAATTCCATTAACACAATAAACCCTATACTCATGCCCAATTTACAGAATGAAATGACCTTAATTGCCAATCAGACATTAGTCTTTTCTTAAGGGCTATGAAATCTGGCTATGTCTACTTGAATGAAAGTGCTCCAAAATAACAGAGCAAGACAAGAGTTTTCAAACATGGAATATCACTTATTGAAGAAATAGACTACTCCTACATGAACTAATCAGATAGAGACAGTTTAGGGGTAAAAGAAAAACTCATACTGAACCTCTACTGCTCAAATACATCTCAACATGATGGGGGAAAAAATCACAACAACTAAACATAGAAATTCCTTAAGACTATTCTTGGGAAAGCAGAAAAATCATACAAAGCTAAAGGCTACAGAAATTTAAAGCCTACAGAAATTCATACGGATATCAAGAAACTCCAGGTACCACCTCAAAAATACTTATTATAAAAGCTGTTCTCGACTGGACATGTAATTTTATTTATACAAGTGTAAAATTCAGCCTAGTAAAAATAAAATATCACTTGTAAAAAAAAATGAAACTTAACCCCTGCTGTACAATAAACATATTTACAATTTGAGAGTTCATCTTTCAATTCAAATACCAAACAACCATGAAAAGTATCTTGTCTGAATCTAACTTAACCTTTCTAGTAAACAAAAGTTTGTGTGTTAGTCGCTCAGTTGTGTCTGACTCTTTTGTGACCCCATGGACTATATCCTGCCAGGCTCCTCTGTCCATGGAATTCTCCAGGAAAGAATACTGGAGAAGGTTGTCATTCCCTTCTCCAGAGAATCTTTCCTACCCAGGTCTCCTGCATTGCAGGCAGTTTCTTTACCATCTGAGCCACCAGGGAAGCCCACTAAACAAAAGAGTGAAACAAAGTTTTTTTTCCTCACCTTTCAATAGCCACTGAAAGGTGAGGGAAAAAATCTAGTTATTATTTCTAAAGCAAACATGAAAATTAGCATTAAGTAAACGTTAGAATCATATAACTTCATTTTAAAATAATTTCATCCTCAGTTTTAAAAATATATTTAATTTCTAAACATAACCACAAACAAAAGAAAATGTTTTGTTATGCTAATATTGAGAGAACATTATAACCAATATTTGTTATAGATGTTTTTGCTCTCCTAGCTTACCTAATATTTTCTGCTCTACTCATAGCCACAGAAAAAGATTAAAATACCTGTATTACTGTCCAGCAACAATGGCTTACCATTTTGAATAAAATAAAACACAAGTTATATACTTCAGGATCCCTTTTATCAAAGGCAAAAAAATATGCAACAATTATCAAATTAAAAAAAATACATACACATACTTACACTAATGTCACTAAGAACATTAGATGCTTGTTCATGCTTTAGATTTCCTTTAATGACATGGTATGACAATTCATAAAGAGCTTGCTGGAAATCTGTCAAACATAAAAGAAAGAGTGTAAGGACACAATCTCTTGAACATGAAAGGTAGACCCTCTAAGGGAAGACCTATGTATTTCATACTTCTCAGATTATTATAAACACCAATAATGATTAAGAAAAATATATTTCTAATGCTTTTCTCTAGCAGATTTTTTCCTTTTATTTTCACAAAAACACAATACTTAAAGAGTAGAAAAAGGCATGTTGCGGTTCATGGGGTCGCAAAGTCAGACACGACTGAGCGACTGAACTGAACTGACTGCACTACTGTAACATAACTATTGCTTGAGCACTTCCTTCCAATCCTTTTCTATATCTCTACATATTTTACATACATGCATTCAGAGTTCACATCATTTGGTACTGATTCCCCGACAAACACTTTTAAAAGTATTTCCTAAAAAAAAAAAAAAAAAGTATTTCCTCCTGCTACCAAAGTCTACAAAATTATTTTTAAGGACTGCATAGAACTCCAGCAAATGAATATAAATTAACCATTCTTCTCACCAAGAGATTTTGCTGATTTTTCTAACTATATTCAGATTTTAGTTAATTCAATATCAGGGCTACACTGACAACAAACAGGTAAGGAATAATAGTAAATATAAAACCCATAACCTGTCAGAGAAATTTCTCCCCAAACCTAAACCTCAACTTTTCCTCTATTTCCATCAGAATTCAAACTAAAATATATTCAGCCCTCGGTATCCACAAATTCTGTACCCATGAATATGAAGGGCTGAATTTATTCACTGTACTATGCAATTTTAATAGGGGACTTGAGGATACTCGGATTTTGCTATTTGAGGGGGCTCCTGGAACTAATTCCCTGTAGATACTAAGGGATGATCATAATTACATATGTACATACAGACAAAAAAACAGCAGTCCTGTGAGAATTGTCAACCACAAGTACAGTTGTCTCATTCACAATTAGCATAGCACCCCTTTCCTGGAGGAGTTTTGGGAGGAGGTAGGAATTAATGGTCAGGTGAACATATCCTTCCAGCTACCTTTTTCTTTAGTCCCAAACACTAAAATCTTTACCTCCTTCCTCTCTTTAAAAGTAAGAAAACACACACCGAGGAAACCAGATCTGAAAGAGACACGTGCACCCCAATGTTCATCGCAGCACTGTTTATAATAGCCAGGACATGGAAGCAACCTAGACGCCCATCAGCAGACGAATGGATAAAGAAGCTGTGGTACATATACACCATGGAATATTACTCAGCCATTAAAAAGAATTCATTTGAATCAGTTCTAATGAGATGGATGAAACTGGAGCCCATTATACACAGTGAAGTAAGCCAGAAAGATAAAGACCAATACAGTATACTAACGCATATATATGGAATTTAGAAAGATGGTAATGATAACCCTATATGCAAAACAGAAAAAGAGACACAGATGTACAGAACAGACTTTTAGACTCTGGGAGAAGACAAGGGTGGGATGTTCAGAGAGAACAGCATTGAAACAAGTATACTATCAAAGGTGAAACAGATCACCAGCCCAGGTTGGATGCATGAGACAAGTGCTCAGGGCTGGTGCACTGGGAAGACCCAGAGGGATTGGGTGGAGAGGGAGGCGGGAGTGGGGATCGGGATGGGGAACACATGTAAATCCATGGCTGATTCATGTCAATGTATGGCAAAAACCACTACAACACTGTAAAGTAATTAGCCTTCAACTAATAAAAATAAATGGGAAAAAAAACAGAAGCAATATTATAACAAATTCAATAAAGACTTTAAAAATAAATAATAAAAGAAAACAAGTAACTCTAAAAACATTAATGTAAAACAAACTCAATTTATAACCCCCTTTGGAAGGAAATCAAAAAATCTTTCAGGGCAACATAGCAAGTTAAGAAATCAAATATTTAGGAGTTTCCCGGTGGTCTAGTGGTTAGGGGAGAAGGAAATGGCAACCCACTCCAGTGTTCTTGCCTGGAGAATCCCAGGGACAGGGGAGCCTGGTGGGCTGCCATCTATGGGGTCACACAGAGTCGGACACGACTGAAGCGACTTAACAGCAGCAGCTAGTGGTTAGGACTCAGTGCTTTCACTGCCATGGCCCAGGTTCAATTCCTGTTCAGGGAACTGAGATCCCACAAGCCATTCAGCTCAGTCATAAAAGTTAAAAAAATGTTTAAAAGAAATCAAATACTTAAAAATCTTCTTTGGTCTACTACTAGCCACAGAAAGGAACATAACAGAAATCAAAACTTGTATCAATCTCCCCTTAAACAAAGAAAATAGTATTTTAAAATGAAATTAATTTGTCCACTAAATAATTCACAAAAGAAATATAGCCAGATTATCCCAATTCCTTATGAAGGATTCATTAAATATATTCTACCTTTCTCACAAATATGCCCTCATTATGCTTATAATAAATTCATAAAAACTAAAATGCAAAGGAAAAATTTCTGTTACTATGGTAGGAATATGAGGTCATTTTCATGCTTTCAATTTCCATTAATAAAATGCTTTTGTAACAAATAATATTCATTTGAAATTATCCACATAACTAAGATTTTTTAAAAAGCAATCACTCACAGAAGAACAAAACAGCTGAGCATCATAAACTAAATTCCCATAAGAGTATGGGCTCACAGGGGCTGAGGGAATTCTAACCTTAATCAAAGGAGATTAAAATAGAGAACAAATGGCCCAGGTCATTTTGCTGACACTAACACAAAAACAATCACAATGTAATCCACAAAGTAGCAAAGACAGTCCCTAATTCACATATCATTTAAATGCCCATTTAAATGGCTAGAACTCCTGTTGTATTTTATCCACAGAAACGGTAAGTGATGTCTTAGAGACTACAAAGACTAGTCCACAAAACCCTGCTAAATCTACACGAAAATTGAAAAACTTTAGATTTACAATGGGGAGGAAAATTACAATGCTTACAAATATACAGAAAAGAATAAATGCTAACATTTCAGAAAAAGCAGCTTCAAGAATGGCCACAAGTAAAAGGAACTTCTAGAGATTCTAGACATCCTTTGTGGAATATGAGCATTTTAGCCACTAGTTATGTCAAATATCACTAGGAATGCTCATGTTCATCAGCCATCCTTACTATGTTATTTTATGGGGGGAGGGGACTTATAAAAGCAGCAGCATGTACAAGGGAAACCGCCTTCCAGAAATGAAATCAATTTGGAGAGAGAGGCAAAAAGAGAAAAGGCAGAAGGAACAATACCCAAAGTCAATCCCCCTGAGATATACAAAGGAAATTCTAAACAAACAACATTCAGTTCCCTGCAAGTAGACAAGAGCAAGAGAGAACCCCCGCAATTGAGCCACTGAGGTTACACTCCTACTATTTTGAGTTTCATATGTGAATCAGAACAACCATGCAAATTAACAGTAGTCTGATAGTTATTAAAGATCTAAATAGTTCCATTTAAAACTGTAAGAGTAACCACCCTGTTATGTTATTTAGTTTTTCTGAGAATTTTTTTTTATTTTATCCACTTAAGGTTTCAAACACAAACAAGATCCAAGTTAACTGAGAAGTTAGACACTTGTTTTAAACATGAGGTGGGGAAAACTATCCAAATGCTTTTAAAAAGGACTCTTTTTTTAGTTTCTTACTCTTCTGACAGTCAACTGACCTATTCAAAAAAGGCATTATATTAACAACCTCAAAAATCTTCATGAATGATCTGAAATTTTAAAAGCAGTATGACTGTAAAATAACTCTGGGGACTGAGCAAGGAATGTTAACAAGTCTTACCCAAATGACAGAAAGAAAAATGGTTCATTCACTCATTTGAAAATGCTTTCTACTCAAAAATCCAAATGTTCTTCAAAAAGTATATATTTTCATATTAATATCTAATTTTTTATAAAAGTAAACATTTAAAGAAAATCATCTAATAACTTATTTAAAATAGAATATTGATTATAAATTATTTTTCCAGATTGGAAAAAAAATGTCATGGATTCTACCCCCAGTGAAAGCTACATATGAAAATGGTTTAAATTACTCGGCATCATTGCTTTTGTTTTTGCCCCTCCTTTTCTGAATCCATATATCTAATTTTAAATTCATAAAAATTAAACAGTAAATCCTTTAAAATTAAAATAACTAAAAATTTACATTCAGTTTAATTGCATAACACTTTACTTAATAAATCATATTTGAGATATGCAGTCATAAACAACTCCTTTGCTTGTAATGTTTTCCATGACAACTGCCTTTAACAAGATCCCCAGATACCACCTAAACATAACCAACCAGCTTTAGTAAAAACACTGAACCTCAGTTTCTGCAAGTTCCCGAGTACAAACAAGATCAAAATTAGTTTCTCTTTCCATGCTAGCTCTTCTATTTATAAAATTTAATGGAAACAGGGTATTTTATTAATTTTGACCAAGCCAAATCTCATAGCTATGATACTTTTAAAAGTCTTACCTCTATAAGTTGAACTATCGTGGCTTTTATTTTCACTGAGGATCCGGCATAAATGCAAACTAGAATAAAACAAATAATCTGTATTAATTTCTAATTCTAACACAGATAATCCTTATACAGCAAATTCTATCAACTAAAAACATCTGGAAATGTATCACATATTTTAAGTCCATTAGTCTATAATTTAAATAAAATAAACCTAAAAACCATAATTGGAAGATGCTAATGAATCAAGACATTACTTTGAATGAAAATTAGTAAATAAAAGAATGAAAATCAAGCACTTATTCTGCCTTTTGTATACAAATCAACAGTTGATAAGAAATGCCTCTGTTAGTATTTCAGCTAACAAAGGTATGATAGAACAGCACCATTTTTAAGTCCCTAATAAATTCAAGAATCTAGGCATCTATCAATGGCTGTTCACATCCTAAGACGCAATCCTGATCCTAATACAAGAATACACCACCACGTATGAGGCTATCTTTGAGGAGGGGGAGCAAAACTTAAATACAAACTGTGGGAAACTGTACAGGACAATGGCCCAGTCTCTTCAACAAATATATTACAAGGAAAAATAAAAGATGGTGGGGGGATCCTCAGGGTAAAAAAGGCTTAAGAAGTACATCTATTTCCGTGTATGCACTTCCCTCATGGCTCAGATGGTAAAGAATTTGCCTGCAATGCAGGAGACCTGAGTTCGATCCCTGGGCTGGAAGATCCCCTGGAGGAGGGCATGGCAACCCACTCCAGTATTCTTGCCTGGAGAATCCCCATGGACAGAGCCGCCTCGTGGGCTACAGCCCGTGGGGTCCCAAAGAGTCAGACACGACTGAGTGACTAAGCAAAGCACAATCACAATGTAGCACAATCACAGTGTATGGATCTTTACTTGGATCCTGTTTCAAACAAATACTTTTAAAAATAACATTTACGAGCCAACTGGGATATTTTATAGACTCTTTAAACAACAGACATTGAAATATTTACATTTACATGAAACATTTACTTCAATAATATGGGGAAATGGGTACAGTTATAGATGAAACAAGATTGGCCAGCAATTGATAAACTGAAGTTGGTTGATGATTTTCATTGGGGAGCTATTATACCTACTTCCTCAAACGGGGGTGTTTTTCCAATAATAAAGCTTAAAAACAAAAAGTTGAATTTTTTTCAAAAAGTTCAAAATTTAAAAAAAACTTGCTGTGTGTTGAATATTTCTTCATTAATTTAAACACAGCAAAAGATAAGATATACAGTATACAGTGAAAGGAGGTATGTTTAATTGGAATTACAAAAAGAAGGGAGAACAGAGCAAAAGCAGTATTTGAAGAAATAATACCCACAAATGCAGTTTTTCAGAACTGAAATTAAATCCATATCTGGACATAATCACAGTAAAGCTACAGGAAATTGAGCAGCTAACACTTTTGAAACAAAGTATCTGCCAACCTAAAATTCTATACACAGAAAACACAATTTCAAGAAAACACAAAATCAGGACTAAACGTCAAACTGGTAACAATTCAGGTCACACACTCCAAAAGCAATGCTTCAGGACATCCTTTAGGTGGGATAAAAATGATCCCAGATAGAACCTTAGAGCTGCAGCAAGAAATGAGGAGGAAAAAAGTGCTAAGTATTCAGGTAATGCTAATATTAACTGAATAATAATAGTGACTTACAGTATTTAAACACATGTAGTACTAGATTATATGTGTGTGCTTACTCTCTCGGTCGTGTCTCACTCTTTGTGACCCTGTGGACTGTAGCCTGCCAGGCTCCTCTGTCCATGGAACTTCCCAGGCAAGAATATTGGAGCAGGTTGCCATCTCCTATTCCAAGGGATCTTCCCAACCCAGGAATAGACCTGCTTCTCTTATGTCTCCTGCATTGGCAGGTGGATTCTTTACCACTGAGCCACTTGGGAAGCTCCATTAAATATGTACAGATATATACACTGAAAAATACTGAAATACATCAAGGTTAACGTGGGTTTATCCCAAATACACAAAGTTGGTTCAAATTAATTTACCACATTAAACTTTTAAAATCACAAAATAGTTCAGAAAGTTTCTATTCCTAGTTTTCTATGTCTTTTTATGCATAAATGACATTTGACAAAATTTAATAACCATCCACTATTTTTAAAAAAACTTTTTAAAAATTAGGAGCAAGAAAAAAAGTTATAACTTGATAAAGCAGCAGTTCTGATAGTGTGGTTCACAAACCCCTGATCCCCAAGACACTTTCTAGCATTCTACAAGGTCAAAACTATATTTGTAATAGCACTAAGACTGCATTTCCCTTCTTATTGTACTGACATTTGCACTAACAATTCAAAAGCAAAGGAAGGTGAGACTGCTGGCACCTTAGCATTCATCAGGGTAGTAGCACCAAACTGTCTCACTGAATTCGTCACAGTCAAGAAGTCAAAGAATAAAAATTTTTTTTAAAAAGAAATCAGAGAATAAAGTCTGTCTCATGTAAGATGTCACCAAATTGTTTCATTATATCTCTCATGATCATTCACACAAACAAAAGCCAGTTTCACTTAAGAATGTCCTTGATGGGAGTGGCTCAGCAAGATGGCACAATAGGAGGCCCCAGGCCTTCCTTCCTCCCATAGAAACACAACTCAACAATACATATCCACAATTCCCTTTATGAGAAATTCAGAAACAGTTAAGAGCTCCTGCACCCCAGGCAAGAACTAAACCAGCTGCATTAAAGCTCCTAGGAAAATACATGATGCTCTCTCACCACGGTCCCTACTCCTGGCACAGCACCGCACGACTGGAAGGCAATTCCCAATTTCCAAATTCTCTCTGAGGAGGGAAAGAGAAGACTGGACTATATATACATCTAACATTCTTCCGGGGGCGGGGCCAGTGAGGGGGTTTGGGGGGTCAGAGAGGTGCCCAACAGCTTGGCAATCTCTCCCTCCAGGGAGAAAGAGAAGACTAGAGCGTGTGCCCAGTATCCCAGCTTTGGGGGAGGGGGCGCTGCCTGGGAGACTGGCTTCTGTCTAGCCTGACTCGGGGCACTGACAGTACCCGGCATACTCTAGCTGCCTGGGAGCCACTAAGGACAAAAGAAAGCTGGGTGGTGTGCTGCTGCTTCAGAGGACCCCAGGGTACAAGAGATGGACACCAGAGGGTGCAAGAGAGGGGAAGCTTGTAGAAAATCCCTCTAATCTGGAATCCACACATTAGGCCAGAGAAGACACAGCCAGAGAAAAAATTTGAGAGGCTCCCAGAACCTATAGCCAAGCTGATTGGTAAAGGCCTTTCCCTGCACTGAAGCAGTCCATAAAGCCTGGGATAAAAGAGCATTTTTGCAAATGTAAAGATACCAACAGAAAACTACAAGGAACATAAAGAAACAGGTAAAATTGGTCCAATAAAAGGAACAAAATGTCTTCAGAAACTGATCCTAAAGAATTAGAGGTATATGGATTATCTGACAATGAATTTAAAATAACCATCATAGAGATGCTCAGCGAGTTCAGGAAAATGATGCATGAAGAGAATGAGAAATTTAACAAAAGGACAGAAAATTTTAAAAGAACCAAACAAATTCCAGCACTAAAGAACATAACTACTAAACTGAAAAATTCGTTAGATGTTCAACAACATTATGGATAGTCATATACAAAAGAACTAAATTGGATACTTCTTACATCATACACAAAAATCAACTCAAAATAGATCAAATACATAAAAATAAGACCTGAAACTGTAAAACCCCTAGAAAAAAACAGGAAGAAAGTTTCATGACATTGGTCTTGGCAATGTGACACCAAAGGCACAGACAATGAGAGCAAAAACAGACAAGTGGACCATCAAACTAAAAACTGTATGCACAGCAAGGAAACGACAAACAAAATGAAAAGGCAGGGGACTTCCCTGAGGCCCAGGGATTAAAGCTCCATGCTTCTACTGCAGGGGACACAGCTTGATCCCTGAGGAGCCAGGATGCTGCATGCCTCAAGTTGTGGACCAAAAAAAAAGAAAAGGTAACCTATGGAATAGGGGGGAAAATGTTTGTGAACCATCCATGTATCTGATAAGGGGCTAACATCCAAAATATATAAGGAACACCTACAACTCAATAGCAAGAAAACAACCTGATTAAAAAATGAATTGTTGTTTAGTCGCTAAGTCATGTCCAATTCTTGTGACCCCATAGACTGTAGCCTGCCAGGTTCCTCTGTCCGTGGGATTCTCCAGGCAAGAATACTGGAGTGGGTTAAATAGACATTTTTCCAAAGGGTCTTTCCCTGGTGGTTCAGTGGTTAAGACTCTGCGCTCCCAATACAGGGGGCATGGGTTTGATCCCTCATTGGGGAACTAAGATCCCACATGCCACAAGGCACAGCCTTATAAAAAAAAAAAAAAAGGACAGACAAAATGGCCAATAGGTTATGAAAAGATGTTCAACACCACTTATTATCAGAGAAATGCAAATCAAAAACAAAATGAGCCATCACCTCACACTTGTAAAAGTGGTCATTATCAAAAAACTGCAAGCAAACAAATGACATCTGATAAAGGGCTATTATCCAAAATATACAAATAACTCTTAAAACTCAACAATAAGAAAACAAACAACCAATTTAAACACGAGCAAAGACCTTAACTGACATCTCATCAAAAGATATACAGATGGCAAATGAGCATATGAAAAGATGTTCCACATCATACATCATCACATACATGGAAACTAAAACAGTGAGATACCACTACACACTTATTAGAATGGCCACAATCTGGAACACTGCCAACAGCAAATGCTGGTGAGGACGTGGTGCGACATAACACTCAATCATCTTTAGTGGGAAGGAAAAATGGTACAGCCACACTGGAACACAGTTTAGTGGTTTCTTACAAGAGTAAACATACTCTTACCTTACAATCCAACCCTCACTCCTTGATATTTACCCAAAGGAGATGAAAACTTATGTCTACACAAAAACCTGCACGAGGATGTTTATAGCACCTTCATTCATAACTACCAAAGCTTGCAAACAACCAGGATGTCCTTCGATAGGTGA